TTATACCATAACGATTTAAGATGCATTCATCCCCAGCAATACAACTTAAACTACGTTTGGTTTTGTCCCAAATACCCAATTTCCTGCCTCTGGAATCATATTGCTTCTACGTCAGAAATTCAGCTTAAGTTATTCAAAATATTGCATCTCAAATTGTTTAGTAAATGCACTAATTTACTTCACTTCCATATCCTTTTACTTCCTAAGAATTTGCAATTTGTTCACTTCATGTTAACCCGCTTTGAACCATAGTTAATTTTAGTGAAATAGACATAGTTTACAAATGATACAACTCAATCTTGCTTCCCTATCGACTGGTAAAACGGACTTTTGACTGGCAATACACTACATTTGAGACTAGTTGCTTTGTATATATGTTCAACAAGTTCTAAACAACACAAATTTAAGCTGTTTTTACATTGAGCTTAACAGATGCTTCTCCCATTATTCTAGACACATTCCCTATTTGTGATCACAATATGGTCCTAATCTCCCTTGAAACACTAGGGTTTGATCGTTTTATGATTCCAGCTGCAGTCCTATGCACAATATCCAATTCTGCACCTAGAATCCATTTCTGCCCTCCTGAGAATCCTGTATGGGAAAAATTTTTCTATTATTATTGCTCAAACGTAGCTAATAAAGTATTCTACAAATTTCTAATGTCATTATGCGTGTAAGAATATTTTACCGTTTTCATTATCAAGAAGTATTAGTAGCTCGCAATCCGATAATATTAACCGCATCAAGACATCCATATGCCCATAAAATACACGGAAAGTAACTTTACTCTTTTGTCATACTTTCGGGAATCGTCAGAAGCGCGCAATACATGTGGGTCTTGGAGGCTTAAACAAGCAACCCAACAGTTACTGCTCTGTGGTTTAAAATACTGCGTTACGGGGTGAAGTATAAAGAGTCCTGACAAATATAGCGTCGCTAAATTATTGAAATTCCTCCATAGGATAGCATAGCCGTACCTGGTATTTGTGCGTGTGTTGGCTGTTCAATTTAATGTTGATTTGTAGTATTCCTACGTATTCTATGCTGCATTCTTCGCTACTTCCTTCTAGTGGGCATATAGAGTAAGCTACTTGTAATGCTATAGGTTTATTTTAGCTTATATTTCGTCGTTGCTTAGTGTGGGGATACCGTATTTTATGCATATTACTAATGTATACGTCAGCGGAGTCAGCGGCGTTTCTTTGGCACGTAGCACATTTTTCTCAACTACATGTTGGCAACAGTCAAGTTTTGGGTTCCGACCCTACAAGGACCAGATGCACTGCGTACTACTGACGAATCCCATAACAGGAATCAATCATATTCCTGTTTTCTGGGAGTGCGATGCCTGCTTGACAAAGTCATAGGTAATGGAATTCTACTGATAAAAGTATACACCTAAAACTAATCTTCAGCAAACTACGAATAATTTTCCCCAGAGCCAGCAGACGGCCGTAGAACGTTCCTCGTTGTCTTAAGCGTATTCTTATCTGGCTTCAAATGTACGACATGCATATTGTCTACACTCCAAACGAACGGAATTGCAAAGCAGATGCACTGTCAAGGAATGATCTGCTGATAGCCGAGCATCATGCGGAATAAATGGAAGCTTTTAATGTACTGCAACTACTTAAAGCAACGTCATTTGGTCTAAAAGAAATAAGGTGTCATAAAGAGGATGAGGCTACGTTACCAGCTTTGCGAGATTTTGTAAAAATATGCGATTCAAGACAAAGTAGCAGCTGCTTAAGTAAATAGCATCTCTTTTCATTTATCGCAATTATAAATGTCTCTATGTTTCTTTGCAGTTCAAGCGTAGTCATGGTCTTATCACTTCACCGCTACGTGAAGAATCACTGAAACACGTTCATCGCACTCTCCTGGTTGCCACATATGTCATTATTCGAGAAGAGATTTGATCATTTAGCCAGTCAAGTCGGAGAACATGTGTAGAGTTGTGAGGCGTGTCATAAACACAACATCCTGTAGACAATTAAAACAATGATGCTGCATGATGTTGCATATTTACCAGTGGAGAGTGTTACGGTTAATTTATTCTGTGACAACGGGAAAATTATTTACTCACGGTTATTTATTATAGTGATTGTGATGAAATCGATTTACTCTGCACTACGACCACAGAAGCAGTACTCCATCAACGCAGATGCCAATTCGTACGTCACCGAATATCAGAAGTGTTATGCTCCGACACTGGTCCATAGATTATCAACGCTGCTATCCAGGTCTTGGTTAATAAGTGAGAATTAGTGCAACAGCTAACCAGACAACCGAAGGAAATGGTGGAGTCAGTAGCGTAGATAGTAAAGTGACGGTTATCAAGAGCTAGAGGTAGCGGTGATGGCCCATGCCAATGAATCGCAACACTCCTTTAACGGAACCGGTCAGAGCCATGTGCTGTCACCACTCCGGCAATTGCCATAAACTTTAGTTCAATTTCGCTATGTGAGCTGCCACCGAACAATCTAAGAAGAAGAATTACCTCTCAGAAACGACTGTGGTACAAGGGTATTTTATGAATTAGCATTGCGGGTGGAAATCTGGGATCATCCAATACCCAGCGGCCAAAAGCGCTGAAAGATTGCTGTGATGACTGTCAAGATCATTACAAAGTCATGCGAATTAAATTTTGGAGGAAAAATCTTTAGAAGGATTCGATTGCATTTGAGATGGCACCGGAGACCACGATGTGGATTTAAAGTAGAGCACCACTCTGCGTGTGGTAAGAAGACAACTGCCACAGGCGAAGTTAATAAAACAGGGAGTGGTAAATTATACAGTGTGTCTGGTGGTGTGGTGAGGCAAGGACTCGAGCAAAGTAAGGCTGTGATGAGAGCGTCCTATCAGGGTAAAATGAAGGATCAAACGAGTAAGCTTAATATTACAGAGAGATGTACGTATCGGATTCCTTCACTGTATACGGTTTGACCGACTTTCTTATCAATTACTCATTATATGTGAACTGAGGCAGAGGAGGAAACGCACGAGCTCACAAGGCTTCTTATTTACGTATATGAACGGACAATGCAAGTCGAATTGTGTTTTGAAAACGTGCTGTAATTTTATAGTTGCGTTTGCGGAATATACACATGTCGCTGAAGGACTGAGTTCTGCAGAAAAGTGTCAGGGAGAACCACATGTGCTGCAGTTGGATGCCCATGGGGTTACCACAGGATGCTCAAGTGCCTGTCCCATTAAACATCTATAAGTGAAACTACGAAATCGATTGACTCCATGAAAGACAAAGTGGTTGGCATTTTGCGCATTACATGTTTTTGACAAATACTCCGTGGCGTATCGTTTGGTCTTTTTTGACTTGCAGCCGGAAAACGTGCGACTTCAGTTAATGATATTTCACGACAGAGTAATTGCCTTGAAATTTGCCGTCTTCTTGACAAGTTCTATGAGTATACTGTATTTATGCTTATAGGTTGTGTTAAAGGATTTGTTTTAGTTTGTTTCTACAGTGTTCTTAAGAACTGGCTGAAGAATACCGTTTGCTTACTTGGGTCATTGTAGCCACTTGCAAGATTAGAGCTGCGTAAGCTTTCAGTTCTCAAATTAACCATGTATTTGCAGTAGAAGGTTGACACAAGACTTTATGTGTCGAGGATTTTATGGTGTGATTGTACGTGCGCTTTGTTAAAACTTGGATCAATATCATCCGCACTGAGTGTGGTGAACCAATATCCTTGCCTTCATCAGCAAGCGTAAAAGCACAGTGTAAGGTTGACAGGTTACAGCTCAAGCGTTCTCAGGTGGTCCCTGTAGGTGCTCACCTGTGAACTCTTCCGTGATAGGCCATTTATTTTGCTGGTCCTTATGGATGCATTTATATAAATTAATCATTAATGAGACAGGCGATCATTCTATAGAAAAAAGGATTCGGTTTATTCAAGACAAGATCGAAATGATGCTAACTGCAGTATTTGCATGCATACTAAATTGCCTCCTTTGTGCCTCCAGCAGTGAGTTAAAACTAAAGTTGATTATAGCTCATGAGATGCTTTCTAATTACCCTCGGCCATTCATCGATTGATAGTAATACAACTCCCATTTTTGACAGCAAACTCGGAAAGAATTTTTGTATGATTTCGTGATAATTAAAAGAATTTTGTCTTGTCAAAACCAATAGGCGTTGCTCTGAAAAGATACTAACATTTCCAACCAAATCGGTTTTCTCTCTTCCACATGTGTTTCGACGTCAGCTTTAAACGATCGCTTGGGTTAGTTGCAAGATACCTATTCGGTTATCGAAAGGGTCATCAAATAAATTGGCATCATTTTGAATGGTGTGAATAAGTAACACGTACAATACCGTGTAATGCGCACTCCATAAACGCTTCACTTTAGTTAAACTTATTCACGGATTTTTTGCATAGTCTAAACTTACTGCATTTAAGCGATGCGAAATGTGTCTGCAACTAAATTATTTCACTAAGTTTTCAGTTTTACAGAAGATAACCTGAAACAGACGAACGAATTGGTGTATAAAACGCGAACACCATAACTTATTGCCGCAAAATATTTTGTAGATTATTAACAAACATGTGCATAATCGTTTTGTAGATTTAAACGGTTGTTTGAACTCTGTTCACTATAGGGTTTCTTTCAATCACGGTTGCGGAGGACGCGAGGCCCTACAACGATTTCATGAATAAAACAATTGGAACTAACGTGGAATCCTACTGTGATATTCAAGTTGGTGTTTATGTTCAATACCATAAATAATTAAATATGTATTTTATATTAGCTATAGCATACCTATTATATATATACTGTAGTATATGTAGGTTTAACGTTTTAACTATTGTTTTACCTCCCGCATGTTTTTAACCTGGCATATGTGGCTGGAATACCTAATTGACTTGCCCCATTGGCACCTTCCGTGCTTTTGTGATTGGGTATAATATACTGGTTGCCATTTTGCGACGACGCTAATTCATCATCATTTTGGATTCCTTCAGCGTTCAGATTTAATGCCAACTTCCTATGGGACTTGTGTTGTTCACAAGTGGTTTTATGAGCCAAGGAGAAACGAACTGGCGTGCGCTTGTGAGATCAATGCCGTGATGAACAGTAGCGGGTTGCTAAGGCAAGGGAATCGTAATTCACGAGCAATTCCCGGAATACATAAAGATAGTTTTAATGAAGGTGAGTTAAAATTTAGTAGGTACGCACTGTTATTTATGCACAAACAAACTACTTGATAGCTTGTGTTAACTAATTTATGCACACGATCTACGTTTCTAGACACTCATTTATAAGTAGGTTGTATTTACAGACGACTTACAATACTTGAATTCAAATGGATGCGAATTGACATAGAATTATCCTCGTGAAATAAATACCCGTTGTTTGTCTCGAAAGCTTCAAGAACAAACCGCTACCTATTAAATTATTTTTGTAATGGCGTATTTTTTAAGAAAAAGAACTACCACAAGGATGCTTCGGTAAGTCATGTTACAAGTTATTCAGCGTTTCTGACTTTACTGTGTCTTTGAAAATTATGCAACATAAGATAGCACGTACGGAATTTTATTAAGGCCTTCGGGAAGCATGTGAGGGGTTTTTATCACCTTTGTATCATGTGCGCATGACTAGAAAGCAAGTGGCTTATTCAGTCAGTTTGTACCGTAAACCAAATAAGGAATCTCAACTAATCTCGTTCCTGACCAACCCATACACAGTGATGACTTGTTCAGATTTCTCACAGATATTCATCCTGAATGAAGAATTCAGTATACATTAGCAATCATTTTTGACAGAAGGTTTTCATTTGTAGCATGAATGCAACATTCAGAAAATGGTATTCCTTAAAGGCTTCGGAAACACATGTATACATTATTTCACATCTAGAAAAATATGCAACACATATAATAGGGTCTTAATCGGAAAGCTTAGCTTGCTTGACGGGTTTGAGTTTTGTCACATTCAAAGTACCGGACATGTGGTCAACTAAAAATCAAACGAGGAATTACCCCTTGAAGGTTTAATGCCACCACTCGCTATCACGAAAGCCAATCCGTAGTATATAGTTCTATCAAATTAAGCAGCAGGCGTTGTGCACATAGAGTTCGCAGGAAAATTATTGCAGGGGAATCATTCAGCAAACAAATACATTATGTTGTCGCCACTCTGAAGTACACGCCGCTGCATCTCTGCTTAGTCCTTATCAACTTCGGTTTTTCAGGATATATACTAAAAATTTGGACCGATTTGGAACACTTGAAAACTGTGCGTGACCTAGTGAGTAAAACGGCAAAAGCTTATTACTTATTTACATGAATTAACTAGAATAGCGTGTCCGAAATATCTCAGTAAGCTTAAGCTGGATTTAGAAATACCAATACAAATATATTCCATAGTAAATAAAGGTTATTTATCAATCTGAATTTACGTACCTGTACATATATAAAATATGCCATCTGAATTCGAATTAATTCACCACGAAGTTTACTTCGCTGAGCTTCTCTATATATAGCATACAGGCTTTGTAAATGGGCTTTCTTCGAAGCATCTAAACTTACAATTTCGAAAAATCCGGCACACAAATTGATATTCTTATCCCTGATCCAGTTCTCTGGTGCTGCAAATAGCGATGTCCAACTGAAAGGTCCGAAATGCGAGAAGGTGCATAACCAACAAATGTCTATGAATGTGCTACGTTGCACTGCAACACCGATTATGTTTCGTGGGAATATCCGGAAAACTGGATCGATCCAGTGCGATATATCAGAAATATCGCTTATGATTCGGATAAATTATCTGTTCAAATTGTTGGGATGTATTGGCCAGTGAAGCACAGTAAGTTTTTGCTTTGTTTGTACACGTTTGATTGATTTGTAACCGCTAGTAAGGAAAGTAAATATTTGCTTCCCAAATGCTACCGCCTGTTAGACACCATAACATCAGTCATTGAAAACCCTTCCGGGTAATACATATTATTTTCTCTCCCCGTAAATATGGTATAGCGACTAAGTTGCTAGATTACTTTCTTCAACAATGCGCTGCAGTAAAACTTACTTTAAAATCATTATGAATACAAAGCCTTGTCTGTAGTTAAATGACGAGATTATGCTGCCCTGTTTACATCTTTCCATCAGCAGAAAGCAGCATCAGACAGCTCCGTGAGTTTGACGTTTCTTCGCTACTGAATGCAATAGCCCATTGTCAACCAGATGATTTCACCTGACAAAAGCAGGGGCATACTTATGGTTCCACCTTAATTTGCAAGCGAGCAAAAATAACACTCGATTTATCAGCTGAACTATGTTTACCTATATTAATCTTCCGCTTTTTTAAGGTAGCTGCTAGTAAGAAATAATTTGATGCACGTGTGTATGTGAATTATGCCATTTTTATGCCATCTTAAGAAAGCTATACACTTCACTATATGTTATTATATTTTCCAAAGATGTTGATACAACCATGCTAGTCGCAGCAGGGCAAACCAATATTTGCGGTGTTTTCGCAAGCGAGGCAAGTTTACCTTTTATGGAATGCTTAAGTACATGGAATTACGCTTGAGTTTCTAACTGCTAGCTTTAATGGAAACATACTGGTAATCAATTTTGCATCAAATAACTGAATGATCATCATCGGTAGATAAAAGTAAGCATCCTTCTCGAAAGTGGAGGCAGTTAATACTGCCATAGATTTCTCAGAAATTGCAATCTATAAATATATATGTATATATATATATGTATTGATTCTGGCTGACACCATGTAACAATCTACAGTTGCTTCGGATATTCGTCAATTAATCAGGACCGCTTGATTTGCATTAGTGTTCTAGGTAGGTTTGGATGAATTCGATCAATTTCTTTAAAATGTATACTTGGGTGGTTATGTAATGAAACGTGCTTAAAAAAACTGAAATACGGCAATATGTATACTAAAATCCCTTTTTGAGCATTATTGTTCATTGAATTACTTCCGGATCCAGTGGTTTGTTTCCGTAGTGTGGCACGCGTACAAATATACTCATCGGTAATTAGGAGTCCGTTTGTAAATTTCCTATAAGGAACAGCTAGACGCACTTAGCCCTGTTTAAACATCTTTGCATCCAAACGTTACCAGCCGAATTGCAGAATAAATTTCATCTCTCAATATTAAGAAGTCAAATAGCTGCAATATTTTCCAAATTGGATTATGCATTTTCCCAGCAAATAATATCATTCTGTGTGCCTCAATATGTCAACTATTATTTGCGCTCAAACAAAGTAACCTTGGCTATTGATATTAAAAGGACGATTAATATATGGAGCATAACTAAGCCCATTGTGCATTGTTTTTAGCACATAGCTTGTTATTTCCCTTCCGCCAATAACTAAGTAGTGATTCGAAGTGTAGCTGAACAGCCATCCGTGCTTTACGTAAGAAAAGGTTTACGCATGAGGTACTATTTTTGTAAACCGCAAAGTTGGCTTATTAACAATTTTTTCCATACAGATCTATATCCATTATCCAAATGTGAGTAAAGCAATTGACAACGATTAGCCATTGATATTTCCTTATAATGCATAAAGTTAAAATTTCAGAAATATATATTTTAATGTCTCTAATTGGCACTTAATAAAACTGAGCAACTTAAGTTTTAACTGCAAACCTTACATTGTTCAAGTTCATGTGATCGATCAGAGTCATCGAGCTAATTACTGGCGGCTTCTATTTCAGTCGGTAATGAAATGTCGTGTGGAATTCCTTGAGGAGTCAGTTAATAATCCCCCGCAACTATTAGCAAGGCTGAATTTGCTATTGAATATAAGCGTTGATGAAAATACAGCGATGGAATGGAAAGCTGTTGAATTGGCCGAATCATGGAAGATACCTGCGCAGAGTTGCGCATTTCCTTTACAAATACGAGCGGAAAATGCTTTCTACGGTAAGCACATACCTTTGGTACAGATTGCAACTCTCAGCTCTATATTTATCTGCGTTAATATTTTTAAGTAACATTTTGTATTCTAAAGGTTGCCTTGCATGTAGTATTGATTCGTTTTTACTGGGCAAATAATCACAAAATCACAGCACTTGTGGTATGCGTAATTGCTTGGTATAAAAATTGGTAAATTGACGCATTCGCATAGCTTCAATTTCAGCAACATCTAAAATGACCTTGGCAGAAAATAAGAAGGATTTATTGGCAGCATATAAAAGAGCGAAAGATTACAGCAAAGCTTTCTTGTTTATGTTTGTGGACTAGTTAGGTGATTCCTAGTAGTTACGTACACATCACTTTACCTCCACGCTAATAATCAGTAAGACAACTAACACAAATAGAAATAAATCAAGTTGTGTAAGTGGGATATGATGTTTGGGATAGAGAAGCATATGTTTCTTATTCCCATTCCATGATCAGCTTTGCATAATCCACAAAGTCACACTACGTTTTCAAATTCCTTGTTCAGCTTACTGCGCAAATGACTTACCACATTAACTTGCTCTGGTAGTTGCGTCTGAATGTATGCTAAAACTAATGCCAAAATGTATATTTATACGTGAAGGTACTGAGCAATCAGGTTTGATAATAGGTTGTCGCCTCACATTTTTCGTTTACGTTCCGCTATCATAATAACAAGGCGGGTGCACGACGATTTGTGAGGGTGAAAAATTTGTCAGCCGGTTGGTAAGTGTAAAAGTTGGTTCCAACAGTGAATTTAAATATCATGAACTACAGATTGATAGCATTTTCGAAATGCAAACAAGCTTCAATTAATTGCTTGACGCAGATAAGTCTAATTAGTGGCAAGATTATAAAAAGGAATAAAATTTATGAACATAATTTGTAGAATCAAATGCAATAACGTACATCGAGTTTGCAGGAAATATTGTTAATAAAACCGTTCGATCACTATAGCAACCATTAGCGTATGTTTTCAGTTAGGAGGTGGATTGAAGAGGATTCATCTAACAGGTGCAACCATCTACTGAAAATAGTCATTTCATGATCATGTATTTTTAGCGGTACGCATCGACATGATGAGTTACGCTGTCTCTTATTTGCATTAAACCGCATTACTTCGAATGTGGATGTGATTGAATATCAGCCACAAGTTGTGACATTAATAAGGAAGCTTTCATCGTAGAAGAAAATTGGTATGCTAGTGAACGGCGTAGTCGTCGTACCAAATGCCACCTGGATGACAGAAAACTACGACAGAAACGCGCAAATACAAAACAGTTTGCTTTCAAGGTGAGATAAATGTGCACCTTCATGCTGCATAGGCATTGGATAACAAATTTTAAATGGATTAATTTGCTTATTCCTATAAGACAATCTACATAAGCAAAACCTGAAGACATTGAGTTGAACGTGTTTGGAGCGCGACTGCTTTACTATGATTATCGCATTTTTAGCCGAAACCTACCAATCAATTGTTGTCTCAAGCGCTTTGGCTTGATCATTTCACACAATGGGCTTTGGCTGTTCAATGGGAATGACAGAAACCATAGCAGGTCATCTTAGTCAAGCTGTCCGCCAACTTTTAATAGTAAGGGTACAATTACGAGAAAAGTTTTTAAGAGGTCCTCAATGTTGCATATTTGACAAGATGGCATATACCACCAGCAGTCCATACTCCTAAGAAAGTAGTATAAAAACATTTTGCTTTATACAGCATATGCGGAAGTGCGCAGCCCATTGAATTCGCAAGGATACGAAGCCATAGCCACCGGCAATCATTTTGACTAGTCAGGATTGCATAATGAACAAATAATTTGTACGAGTTAAGAGGCGTTGTTTTTTAGGTGATTTGGCAGTTGGTTCTTATATTAATATATGTATATATATTGTTATTAATTATATAGTAGTTTAAATTTGAAACGATGGATTTATCATTTGTTCCGATGTAGTTCTGAAATCGCTTACATGTAAAAGCAAATTAATCCAATGTACCCAAAAAATTAGCGCTTACTAACAAAGTGGAATTTAATGAGTGCCTCACCCAAAGGTTTTTTATATACTGTTTTCTCAGTGCACGAGCAACGGATACAGTGACATAATTCCACGGGTGACCTACATGAAAGGAAAACAAATTCCTGCAGCAACCCAGGCGACAGTATTGTTCTACGGGTTTCGTCGAGTGACCTCTCCATTTTGTATTAATGCTAAGTTGCAGTAAGGAGCGGCACACATGATGTGTATTCGTACGCAATCGAGTTTGCGATTATCAGTTCTCAACGTGATCTGCTATATTGTCCGCTGAATGACCCACTCATTTCAGTCCCTGATCGTATGATTGGTGGCATATTCTAATGGCGGCTTTGGATGCCCGACATAGTGT